TACAAGAATCTGTCACGCCACCTGGACATTAGTTATAGTGAGGTAGGATAACGTTCACACTATATGTACAAGTAATATAAAATAAATAGAAGCAAAATAACAATAAATAATAATCAAAAAGTGTATAAAATAACTAAAAAATAAGGAAATTAAAACAAAGAAAAAAACACATGCATATCTATATACATTATTTACACACAACCAGGCCAGAGAACTCCGTGGCAGACTTGTTTCCAACTATGGAGGGAAAAGCAGGACTCCAGAAGAACTGCTCTCTGACTGCTAACCGCATCACTGGTACTAAAGCCAGCGGAGATTGATCAATGATTGATGAAGCGCTTTACCCACATACACGTATGAGTGGGGAATTTGACCATAACCAGAGCTTCAATATATACAATCTACAACAGGTCGCTGGACCATTGCCGTTTTAATCTTCTTGGAAGATTATATCGATGGGTGGTTGTTGATGAGGATTTTGCAAAAGGATTTGGATGATACCTAAGCTTTTGGTGAAATTTTGAGAATTATTCTGAGCTAAGGTCGAGGACAAATGGGATGTTGAGGTCATGATGTAGGATTTTGTTGGTTACATAGAAAGAAGGCGATTGATTTTAGAAAATTTTGCTGTTCCCCACAGTTCTAGCCCGTAGGCTCAAAATAGATTTCACTATTGTCTTGTTTTCGTAGTAACTTGCTTCATAGTAACTTGGTTTCAATTGAAAGTTTACATTTTCTGTTTAGTAGTCTGTCGATTTGGCCAGCTACCACTGAACAGAAACTCACATCTTTCAGTTGAAAACAAACTACTAATTTATAGAACTGTACTTAAACCCATCTGGACCTATAGAATCGAACTGTGGGGGAGAGCTAAATCTTCGAGCATCAAACGTATCCCATCCTTTCAATCCAAAGTCCTTCGAACAATACTCAATGCTCCGTATTACGTCACAAATAAAATCCTACATCATGATGTATGTAGGCATTATGATCTCAACAACCAATTTCATCCAGATTCTCAAACTTCCAACAATAACTTATTCACTCACTCATTCTACTCCCTTATTATAATCCCTCTCCAGCTCCAACCACCCATATAATCCCCCAAGAAGGTTGAAACGGAAATGGCTCCACAAAACCTTTTGTAAATACGTTACTGGAGTTCTGGCAGTGGCCAGCTTCTTCGCTCAAGTCCTGAGTGTATGTGGCTTTAGCGTTCTCACTCAGCCTCCACTGGCTTTCAAACAGTGATGCAACTGGGAGAGAAACGCTGGAATCTCTTTGATCACTGCTTTGTCTTTCACATGAGAACTGCAAAGCATGGTTCAGGGTTCTCTAGGCTGTATTGTGTACAGGAATGAATGTGAAAAGTAATTTTTTTTTCTTTTTATTATCCTTTTAATGTTTTTTTTTTTCTTTTTACAAGTATTTTCTATTTTTTCTATTTATAAGTATTTTATTATATTACTCTCTTGTTCTTTTATTATATATATTTTCTATTTACATGCTTTCTTATTTATTTTTTTCTCAATATGCATATAATAGTATGAATTTAATCATAGAGCCTTAATACCCAATGCCCTTGAATGTGGCAGATTGTATTATTCCTTCAATAAAAAAGAAAAGAAAAACAGGGAGTCTGTATAGTTAGCTGTATCGTCGGTTAAGTTCCTGTTTTTTAAGTCTAGTATGGGGTTCCACATTAGTCGTCTGTCTAATGAACTTGAAGTCTAAGGGACGTTGACAAGGGATTTGAGTCCAACCAGCCAACGAACTGGTGAGATCTATTTCATTTGAAGGAGGAGGAATATGTGAAATTTGATGCTTGTGAGAATATTGATTAGGTATATTAGAATGTATAGGATCTTGAGGATGGGGTCGAGGTTGTTGTTGCGACCGCAATTATCGCTTTGGTTCTTACCTCCAAGTAGATAGGAGAATGAAACATTAGAGTTCACTATTCTAGCAGGTTCTCTTCTTGGCCTAGTTGTCTCGTCTTGAATCCGGGTGTTCTCTGGTATCTTGTTTTGAAGTACTTAAAGATTTGGTAACCCTTATTGTTCGCCGGTTGTTCCTCCTAGCACAGGGCACAAACTCGTTTCGGTTTAGTGCACTCTGCTGATTTATGTTGTTCACCGTATTTCACGAAGAGCGACAAGTGGTAGCAATAAGTCTTGTTGTAGTCGTACGCCTGGTGGCACTTCACGGTTGCTCTCTTGGAATAGATCTTCTCATGCTCATGTAGAATATTCTGGGAATATCATATATTTTTTCGACACCTGGTGATGGATCCAGCTCAACGAAACACAAAGGTAGTTCTTACCCTTGACTGCTCCTCCTTCAAAACCTTGGTTACCTGACGTAATTTGAAACTAAACGTCGTTAGTTTCTTCTTTATTACAGGCGGGGTCGAGGATTGAAGATTTCTTATTACAACTCGTAACGCCCTCTCTTGCCTCATCTGGTAGTGTGAAAATTCGCCTTCGTTTCTGATAAATATTTTACTATTTTTCGATACACTCCAGCAGTATCTGGAATTATTTTAGTGTCATTGTCCTATTGATACATGAATAACTGCCGGAGCAGATTTTGTTTACTTGGTTGCACAAAAACTGAAAATTCTTTACATTTTTCAGAAATATCGGAGGAGACCTTGGTTACCTGGGTATTGCTGCAGACTCCATTACTTCTGTGTCATTCTCGAGCGCTTGGAACGTGTTTGGAGTAAATAAAGGGGAGACATGCCTCATTGAGGCTGAGGTTCTGAATCTGAAGTGTTCCCAGTGATCATTGGAGGTGGATTACTCGTAGGGGTTTTTTTTTTTTTTTTTTTTGGTAAAACACGAGGGGTAGAGCCGTCTGACCGAGTCCTCTTAGTGGGCACCTTACTGGACATCACTTGGTGATAATACCGCATATAACAAGAGAAAAAAAAATAAAATGTGAGAAAAAATAGGGTATCAAACAGTAAATATCAATTGCTCTGATGTACACGTGAACTGTATTTAGTGAATAATCAGAGAAATTCCGCGGAAAAATGAGCAAATACTGAGAGGCGAGTTGAGAACACAATCTTCGCATCAGCTGATCCACTGCCTTCTATGAAGACATAATCATGAAAATTAGCTTAACATTTTCAAATTTCTAAAATTCCATTCACATCATTTACAATTTTTATATGCACTTGATGTAAATGTTGGTTAAATAAATTTTTATTTCAATTTCATTCTTATTTTTTTTATTGGGTTATGAAAACTGATCTCCCCCTGCTCATACCAAATCTTCACTCTCCCTCATCCCTCCTGCAAAATATTTAAATGAATATAAATTTACTTCAGTGGTTCATATAAAACAGGTTATTGAAGATATAAAGATTGTAGCATTTGAACAAAGATGGAAAATAGGTCGAAAAATTTCCAAAACTTTGAAAAGCTGTATCTCAAAAATTATTAATCTAATCGAATCTGTTTAAGACAAAAACAGCCCTAGAAAACAAGGAATACTGTTCGGGTGCATTTCTGGACATTGCACAGGCATTTGACCGGGTATGGCACTCCGGACTGCTCTTCAAGCATAAAATCCATTTACCTCAGTCCTTGTACCTAGTCCTAGTCCTTGTACCTAGTCCGATCCTACCTCTCTGACCGCTCCTTCCGAGTTCGCTGTGGAACAGAATTTTCCAATATCTACTCCGTTAAAGCCGGTGTTCCCCAAGGCAGCGTCTTGGGTCCCGTGCTTTACATCCTCTTTACTGCTGACATCCCTATTCATCCCGATACTTTTCTTGCAACATTCGCTGACGACACCGCAATCTTATCATCCAACTCTGATCCCAACATAGCATCCTTAAATCTCCAAAACCACCTCACCTTGATTGAGCACTGGTGTAATAACTGGCGCATTAAAGTTAATGAATCTAAATGCCAACATATTACCTTTACACTCCGACGCAGTTCCTGTCCACCAGTACACTTTAATTCCATCCAGCTTCCTTACTCAGACACAGTCCGGTATCTTGGCTTTCATTTAGACCGAAGACTAACGTGGAACCCACATACTAGACTCAAAAGACAAGAACTCTACCGACGATACGGCCAGCTATACAGACTACTAAACAGAAAATCCAAACTTTCTATTGAAAACAAATTACTTATCTACAAGACAATACTGAAACCTATATGGACATACGGACTTGAACTGTGGGGGACAGCAAAAGCTTCTAACATCAAACGTATTCAATCCTTTCAATCTAAAGTCCTTCGAACAATAGTTGATGCTCCGTTCTATGTAAATAACAAAATCCTACACCATGACCTTAATATCCCATTTGTCCTAGACCTTATTCCAGAAAAATTCTCCAAATTTCACCAGAACCTTACCTATCATCCAAATCCCCTTGCACAATCTCTATCCAGCACCACCCATCCTTACAATCCTCCTCGAAGGTTGAAGCGACAGTGGCCCAGAGACCTTTTGTAAATAAGCATCTATTGGAGTTTTGGCAATGGCCATACGGCCATCCTCCATTCAAGCCCGAGTGTGTATGATTAGGTTAGTTCTTTTGTTTATATACATTTATTTTATTTTATTGTATTTATTTTAATTTTATTTTATTGTATTTATTTTAATTTTATTTTATTGTATTTATTTTAATTTTATTTTATTGTATTTATTATTATTAAGTTTCTGTATTATTTATTTTTTTTTTTATTGTAAATAGAGTGTGAGTGTGCTTTCTCTGATCACTATTATAAATGTCCTTGATGTGACAGAATGTAATATTTCTAAATAAACAAATATAAAAAAAAAAAAAATAATAATTTATGGCATATCTTGTATCAGTTGTATCGAAATTACCCATATTGAAGTTTTAGAGTACACCATGCAGTGTGTTATCTGTCAGTGCCTGTTAGTTTACGTCAACTCGAATAATTTAATAATAAATATTTTTATTTGATAAATGATTTCATTACAATAGATATAACACTCATATTACTTACATGTTACAACCACCATACTCATTTTGACGATGTAATCTATTAGCAGTGTACACCTGGTTACTTTCGGTTCACTATACCTGTGCCATATGATGTCGTATGGTACATAAAATTGCACAGCGTAGGTCATGAAAATTACTGCAGAATAGAGACCTCTTACAATGTGTGCAACGCTGAAAAATAAAAGATCAAATTAATTAATCAACTCTATGTTAATCAAATCCGAACAAACCTTTTAGACTAGCAGCTACCGATCATTTTATTTAACTGAAGGACACTTGTAGGTAATTAACTTTTTAAGTTCTGGATAAACCTAATATGAACAAACAACTTTGGTCAATCGATTGAAAGCCGTTGCTTTAAAACTAAATTAAAGTGGCGTAATATCTATTTTCATAAATATATTGACGATGTAAGGACTACACATTAGTATCAATTATATTGGAGTCAATGAAACTGGTTTATATTATTTTTTTAAAATATTTATAGATGCTGCTTCAATATTATTGCAAGAGTTTAAATGTAATTGTACGCTTAAGGACAATATGAGTAATATTAAATCTTACATGCGGACGTTGAGAGGCTTTGGACGATACTACACTGACAGACAAAAAATTCCACCCACTTGATTTTTTCATCTAAAAATATTTCTGCCACTTGTCAAAAAAGTTGTATTTGTATATAATTTATGGATTTTAGTATTTATGGAATTTTATAATCTTTATACCTTTAATAATCAAAATGTGATTGGCTAAGAAAGATTGGAGAAAAAAAAATTGAAAAACGAACCATTATTATTCTAAAAGAAATTAATTACATCACCGTTTAGTAGCGGGTGTTTCCTCCTCTTGCCTTCACTACTTCTTAAAGACGCCTCGGTATACTTTCCACCAGTCGGGAAATGTCCCTTTGCTGGTGGATAGCCCATTCCTCCCGAAGAGCCCTTTCAAGGTCCTGCAGTGTATCAGGAAGTGTTGCACACGCTCTTATTTGTCTTCCGAGGTTATCCCATAAATGCTCAATGGGGTTCAAATCTGGAGAACGTACTGGCCAGGCTAAAACCTCAATATTGTTCTGTTGAAGGAACGTCTGCACTATGCGGGTGACATGTGGGCGCGCATTATCGTGCATTAGTTCCAAAATCTCATCTACATAGCGAGTGGCCGTCAAAGACCCTCCACGAACTACAACCAATTCTTTGCGGCGCTCCATTGAAATCCCAGCCCACATCATTATTGATTGATTAAGGAACCACGTTGGAAAAGTTGGCTCTGGGAAAAATTACAGGCGGCATATCTTTCCTTTCTTCTTCTCCACACCCTTTCACGCCCGTCAGGAGATCGAAGAGCGAATCTTGACTCATCTGTAAAAAGTACATCACTCCATTCGTCCATAGCCCAATGGCTGTGTTCTCGAGCAAGAGTTCTATTCCGTGTTACTCTGTGAGTTCTGGTCAACTCTGGTCCTCTTACTGGACGAAAAGCCATTAATCCATACTCATTTAATCTTCTCCGAGCGGTACGTTCAGAAATTTGCACACCTCGAACTTCTTCGAGCTGATGAATCGCTTGAACAACGGTAAGGTGCCGGTTTCGTAAAATTCTCAAAGTCAATAACCGGTCATCCCGTGGTTTTGTTACCCTAGGCCGTCCAGAACCGGGCCTTCTATTGTAAGAACCAGTTTCCCGAAAACACCTGACGGCGTCTCGTAAAGTTTCATATGGAACTCCGATGGTATTAGCTGCATATCTTATGGAACGTCCATCATCAATAAGTGCCACACCACGCGCAACATCCTCAGCAATAAGAGGCATTTTTAAACTTAATATTGGAAAAATTAAAAGCCGGAGACTAAGAAATGTGCTGCAAGAAACGGCACTGAACTAATGATACTAAATAAACATTTTGATTCCCTAGAAAGTAAACATTGGAATCTAGAATCATTTCATTGAATTAAGGATTAAGGGTTATTGTCCTCTATATTAACATTCCTAATTGAAAACAAACAAAAAGATTACCTATTTATTCATTAAAAACAATAGATCAATCCAAAGCAGAAATATTTTTAGATGAAACATGAAAAAATCTAGTAGGTGGAATTTTTTGCCTGTCAGTGTATATTTTTATCGTGTACGATAAAATATACAATAGTATATTATACACTTGAGCGCGGGTGTGTGAGTGAGAGAGAGAGAGTGTGTGTGTGTGTGTATGTATGTGTGTGTGTGAAATAGACTTATCGGAAGTGCCAATTTATACCAACGGTTATACACATTTTCATTAGTTTCTCAAAAACGGCTCAAACGATTTTGATTAAGCTCTGTGTAACACTGTGTACTTTAATATCATATAGGTCTTATCCCCATTTATGACATTCTACACTTTTTCAATTTGAGAACACTAATTTCTTTAACGGACATCACATGTTTTCATGGAAATTAAATGAAATTGACTAACCAAATGTAAACTTTAAAAATATTTTTAAGTTTGAAAAAAAAAATTAAGTTCATCTAAATAAGGCAATGACATTGTTTAAAAAACTATTTCATTATACTTATGTGAAAGAAGAAGTGAAATATAAAAATATTTCATGGATGTAATAGGCATATATTTATTACCTTTAATACATTAAGTGTAGTTTAATATTTCTAGATCTGATATTATATTTAAATAATTAGGTATCATCAGCTGATGCAAAGGTTGTCTTCTCAACTCCTCTCTCAGTTTTTGCCTATTTTATAGCGTAATCTCTCTGATTATTCACGTAATAAAGCTAAAGTGTACATCAGAGCAGTTGATATTTACTGTTGACATCTTTTTTTTTTGTTATTTTTAATTTTTTTTTTCCTTCTTCCTTTACTTTTCTCTTATAATATGCGGTATGATCAGCAAGTGATGGCCAGTAAGGTGCTCAAGAGGACTCGGTCAGACGGCGTTAGTACACCACGTGGTTCACCAGCCAAACAAAGGACTCGTCGCTGCCTACGAGAAATACCTCCAGTGACCAAAGTGAACACTTCAGAACCAGAACCTCAGCCCCAATCAGGTACGTCTTCGCAAGAAATGATTGAAGAATCGCCTTTCATTACTCCAAACCCCTACCAAGTGCTTCAAAATGACCGAGAAGTAATGGAGACTGCAGCAATACCGAGAGAACCAAAGCCTCCTCCGATATTTGTGAAAAATATCAAAAATTTCCAGATGTTCTGCACCCAACTAAATAAAATCTGCTCTGGCAGTTATTCATGCCTTAACAGGACCAATGACACCAAAATAACACCTGATTCTGCTGAAGCCTACCGAAAAATAGTGAAGTACTTATCAGAAACAAATGCGAATTTTCACACTTAGCAGCTGAGGCAGGAAAAAGCGTTACGAGTAGTGATAAGAAATTTACACTCCTCAACCCCCACTGAGATTATTAAAGAAGAACTAACGACGCTTGGTTTCAATGTACGCCAGGTAACAAACGTTTTGAAGGAGGACAGGGAGCAGCCAGGATTACGAAATAGGATCCCACTACCATTGTTTTTCGTGTACTTGGAGCCATCACCAAGTATCGAAAAAATATATGATATCAGAAGAATATACTATACAATGGTGAAAGTTGAGAAGCCATACCCCAAGAGAGACATCGTGCAGTGCCATAATTGTCAGACCTATGACCATACGAAGACATATTGCCACCATCTGCCGCGTTGCGTGAAGTGCGGTGAACAGCACAAATCTGTAGAGTCCACCAAACGTATACAAGATCCAGCAGTATGTACCCTATGCTTGGAGGGACACCCAGCCAACTACAAAGGCTGCCAAATTTACAAGAATCTCAAAACCAGACACCAGAAAAACCGGATTCAAGATGAAGCACTAACAATTAAAAGAGAGAGAGAGCCTTCCAGAATTGTAACCAATGATGTATCATTCTCTCAACTACTTAGAGGTAAGACTTCAACCGATAAATGTCAAGCCCTTCCACAACAACAAACTCAACCCCAACCTCAAAATCCTCTTCATCCTAAAATACCTAAGCATCAACAACAAATTCCTCATATTCCTCCTCCTTCAAATGCAACAGATCTCACAAGTTTGTTAGCATCTTTCCTCACCGATTTCAAATCCCTTGTTACTCCACTCATATCACTCCTCACAAATCTTGTATCTCACCTCATCCCTCCTTTAAAAAATCCTTAAATGACTCACATCCCTAAACCCATATCCATTCTTCTTTGGAATGCGAATGGTGTTAGAAATCATACAGACGAACTATCTACTTTACTACTTGACAAGAACATTGATGTGGCACTAATTACCGAAACTCGACTAACCACTAAACAGCACTTCAAAATACCACAATACCTAACATATCTTACTGAATACCCTGACGGAAAAGCACATGCCGGTACTACTGTAATTGTACACCAATCCCTCTCCCATCACGTACTCCCATTACCTATATATGATTTCCTACAGTCCACCGCTATCCTGATAAAAACCTTCTCCTTTCCGGTTACTCTTGCATCAGCGTATTGCCCTCCTAACCGATTCATATCCAATGCCCAATTCAGTTCTCTCCTCGACTCCTTAGGACATCACTTCATCTTAGGTGCAGACCTAAATGCCAAGCACCAACAATAGGGTTCCAGAACCACGAATTTTCGTGGCCGAACCCTGCTGTCTGCACTCAATTCCCAACGTTTTCACCTCCTTTCCCCCAACTCTCCTACCTACTGGCCCACAGATCCCAACCGTAATCCTGATCTTCTTGATTTCTTTATCCACAGCGGCTTAAGTCCCCTCAATTGTTCCATTACACGTCTAAATGAACTTTCCTCTGACCATAGTCCTCTAATCCTTAATGTTTCACTTGAACCCGTTCCCAAACCTTCTCCACCGTCATTCATTAGGGGCCCAGTAAACTGGGACCTTTTCCGCCAAATAATCTCCGATAATATTGATCTCAACATATCCCTCAAAACTCCCGATGACCTTGATAGTGCCGTAAATTCCTTTACTACCACAATCCAACAAGCCGCCTGGACTGCCTCCTTCCCAAAAGACTCCTCCAGAATTCCTATAAAGACCATTCTACCCCAACACCTCCTTGACCTAATCCACACCAAACGCCGTGCCAGATTATTATGGCAACGTACCCGACATCCTACCGACCGCTGCT